ATAATTATATTTATTTATATATTATTTAAATATTATATGTGAAATATTAAATAAAACACTATTTAGGTTGGGTCCACATAGCCAAACCCAAATCCGAATAGTATTCCGATCCAATATTTGGACCCAGATCCAACCCATCAGGTCCAACTTTTGGACCCAAACCCGGTCAGATCAAGGTCCATTGCCACCCGCTCCGAACTCCTAATTGGAGAGAGAGACCGCCTCCGGTGCCGTTTTGTGGATCAGGTAAACAGGATTAAACTTTTCTTTTCACGTCCATCCATGGATGAATTTTTAAATGCCCTAGGCAGGAAGTCACCTTTGTTTTTTTCATCGATGGTAGGCCCTCCAAACCATGGTTTGAAAGGGGCATCCAGACACATGCCCATAACTTTTTGCATTATCAGTGTCTCTGCAACTTCTTTCTCTTTGCAATCTCAATGGATCACTCCATCTGCCTCACATGTGCACGAACATTTGGACAAGGATGCACATCACCTCAAATGTGGGGGAGGTGATATTTTAGACAATTCATAAACGGGCTGGACTCAGGTCAAGACACACTTAGCCCGCCTCAAGTCCAAAACTATTTTGTCAAACGACTGGAGAATATCTAGCTAAAGCTCGCCTAAGCTCAGCCTAAACACAGCAATAGAGGCCGAAGCTCGGCCTGTCCAGGCCTGAATGTTTTGGTTCAAGGCTTTAAAAGACATTTCTAAACTTCAACCAAATTTTTATAGCTCTTCTCCCGCTCTGGCCGATGTGGAACTATAGAGAGAGGGGCATCACTATTCTGATATCCAACAAATGAGGGTCTCTACATCATCCCCCAAATTTACAAAATTCAGCACTAATTTCCATGAACAAATTTGTAAAACTTAACCTCTCGCCTTGATTCAAGGTACGAGTGTTGTGCAGTTCTACCAATCATAAAACTTCTAAGCACTAGGCATGTATTCTACTCTATTTTTCCATTCATTACTTTGATTAATCGTCATTATGATCATTAAGCTTCCATCAAATGGACAAAGCAAACTTATAAGATGGCGATCTCAACCTAGATATTCATGACAATTTCTTCAGAAGAAACCATTAAAAGTCCTGATAAAACAAGAACTTCACCAACAATAGCAAGAGATTAATGAACCTCAAAACCCAAAATATCATAGGAATATGAAAATTTAGAGAGAGATTCTCAGCTAAAAAAGTAACTTTTAGTTCTTGTTAGAGAATTTGGAAAAATTAAAAACAAATAACTGGCCCGGATCAAATAGAGGAGAGAAAAAATCAAGGCCATCGAGACCCCACCTGTTTAACAACCATGAAAGTGAGATTTTCAGTCAAAGAGAGGCTAAACAAGAGAGAGGTGGCTTGAAAAATCACCTCGGTCAAGAAAAATGCAGCCCAAAATTGGAGTTTCAAAGGGGTTGCTGAGTTGGGTTAGGGAATTTCCTATCAGCTATCTATCAAGCACAGTTAGGCCACCCTCCACCATTAATAGGAGTTTCTCTAGAGAGAGAGCGCTGCGTTATATACAAAAACCTTAAAATGCCACTGAAATAGGGTGATGAAAATTGGGGAGAAATTACAAAAGGAGACTGGGTTGACAGCTTACTACGTATATCTTGTACAAGAATGATCTCCAATAATTCTAACGAAGGACAGCACTCATTGATCCATGGAAAGAGAGAGAAAATTTGACCCCATCCAAACGCTTCCACCTGCCCGTCTTCCAGATCCAGTTGTGACTCCTGGATAAACATGACCTCCACTTTGTGTCTCCTCAGGAACTTAAGTTCAGACATTTAAGAAAAGAAATGCAATAGAGTTTCTCCTTTTTGTTTTGTATCTCTTTAAAAGAAATCAGTCCACAATTCAGAATGTCTTTACAGGTTAAATAGCAAAATGGTATTTGCCTTTTAATCTACCATTAAAGGTTAATAAAAGATTAATTATTAACAAAAAGCGACTGTACACTACGATGGTTTCTTCAATAAAGGGCTCATGTCAACCAATTCGCCCCTTAAGTTTGTCAAGTCTGCTTGGTTGGATTAACAGTTGCAATCAGCCAACTGATTTGACACCAGAAGACTGAAGCTATAGTATCATACAGAATACACTGCCACAAATATCATGATATACTTTCCTCTATTATATAATACAAAACAAGGAAGCCAAATTGGCAACAGGAAAATTTCAAGATGAAGATAACCGCACTATAGAGGCTTACTGATCAAAAAAGGGGAAAATAACTACATTTTAATCGCAATAAAAAAAGGGAAATACAAAACAAGGGAAAAAAACAAAGGAAAAAAGGATTTCTAACAACCTTAAGTTGAAGAAAATGAAAGGGCATCTAGACACCCTGCTTCACCAGATATGACTGCCAAACAACTCAGTGCTCCTGCAAAGCACTCCTCAAAAGCCCAAACAGCCATTAAGTCCTCATCTGCTCCATCACTGTCTCTGAAAATTATCCTGCATGCTCATAATTGGTCAACTTCTATGAAATACTGATCTCCTGGAAACTTTGGGCTCTCACATGCCTTAAAAAGCCAACCCAATATCCCCTCTGATTTAGAATGCGCTCATACATAATAACTTGATAGAGGACATGAGCCAAGAGGGGTTCGCTGGGCTCGGTGACCTTTAGTACACTTCTCACAGTGTTTCCCATGTGTTACGAGGAGACAATTCAAATCAAATTTTAGGTCATCAGGAATTTGACTGTTGAGGTGTAGGTATGCCTTCTCCCGATTTGCCTCCGAGGGAACCCAACCTATAGCCTTCACTATCCGAAATACCTATTCATAGAAATGGTGCTTTCATCACTTCACCTTGGTGATCTGGAATTTCTGTGTCCTCATAGTCATTAAGATTCTATACTTTGACTTGTCTTGAGTTTGTCAAAGTGAGGATCCAAATTTAGTGTGAATCATTTTTTCATGAATAAGAATGATCCAGGACGAATATGCTTTTTTGACAGAATGATAACTGAATGATAAAATATAATATAAATTTAGGTACAGACAATTACTTACATGAGTGTCGACTGGGAAATCATCTTTCTGAAGATAAAACATCAGTACACAAGCTACCTGCCAACAAATTAAAGCCTTGAAACAGTAAATAATCAGTAACCAAAAGAAGGGAAAGGACACAAGAGAGATTAGTTATAATCAATGTTTTAATAGCCACGCTAGGGCATCATCTGGGCCCAGTTGGCTCAGAGAGTCCCCCCAAAATGGCAAGGGCAAAAAAGGAAAAAAGAATTGCTGAGAGTTTGCCCCAAAAAAAAGTGAAATATGTGGGAATAAAGAGAAGTAAATGATTATTTATAATGACGAGAAAATAGAAAACTTATAGATATTGAAGGTTTCAATTGCCAGAGTGCTAGGCATTCATTCAACAGTCCAAATTGGGGTACATATCAATAGTGACTTTTATAGGAGCTTACAAACCAACAAGCAACATGACTCAATCTACAACCACTATCAATAACAGGGAGGCTCATAATTATACCAACCACGATCACCAGACTCTCTTTGTAACAGTTTAAGAATGACTCTTATCAGTTGGGTAGCTTCAATAGTCCCTCCTAATCAAAGTCCCCAATGTTAGTCTAGCCCTCGTGCTGACTCCCACCCCTACTACTGGCATTTTCTAGTTCAGCTGCCTCATCATTGTCATCATCTCCTCCTCCCTCTTCCCCTTTCTCCTCATGCATCCCCTCCAACTTTTCCCTCTCTAGTCCCACCTTCATCGCTTTTCTCTTTGATGGGGCCAAATTTTTCTTCCAATTTCCTCCTATGGAAAAGCGGCTTCTCCACTTCCACCACCGCTCTTCAGCTGGTTCCCCTAGAACAGAAATATGTGATCCAAAATGATAGGTCCATAGTCCTCAACAACCCCCTCCCCCACAGCTGCCACTTTCAGTTGAGAAAGCATATTTTGCTTGACTTATCTCTATAATGATTTTTGATATGATCACTTTCAGAGTCTATTAAAATTGTTCAACTTATCTATAATGATTTTCAAAGTGAACATTTTTAGAGTCTATTAAAATTTGTCCATAAAAATAATAATATTTTCATATGGTTCTTATTGGGAAGTGAAAGGTTTTACGCAAGTGTTTTATAGTCAGCTGCTTTTTAAATCTCTATTTTCCATGGGTAGTGTGGATTCCCTCTTTTATAGATTTAACCTGGAATTGTCCCTTATTGAGGATTTGGGATCCACATTTGTCTATCCGAAAGGCATAACAATCTATTTATAATGCCCAAAGGAATATAAATGTCGTCTTCTATCTATCTGATTCTTTGATTTGAATTCGCCAAAATCCATATTTCATAGCAAACTTCAAAAATATTTTTGCACTCTGAATTCTAGAAATAAGACCTTGTCTGTTTGGTATAGATTGTCTTTTCCATTTTAATATTTTATTAAGGGGTTTATAGTGCATTACTAATTTTGGAACTCCTCTTTGTAATTATGCTGCATTTCAACATAAATGGTTGCACAACTCAAGAAATATCTTCTCATTCGAATTAAATTCTTCTTCATAAGATATTCTATATCTTTTTGGCATATTTCTAAGTATCGCTAATTCACTCATATAGGTCTTGCCTTGGTCGGGGTTCTCCTACATGTTTCGTCCTATGCCAGAAAGCACTAGGGAGATCTTAGCAGGTTTCTTTTATTAATTTTTTTTTTAATTCTTCTATTTTTCTTTGGAAATATATATCTTTTTCCAATCTTTCTTTTATTCTTTTTCTATCTACTGTGGTTTCTTAGTTCGTTAATAAAATTAGTTTTTGTATTGATTGAATCATGGATTCCAAATTTCTGTTATACTAGGTTTTTCACATAAAGTAAAATAAACTTGTGATTCCCCTATTTTTCCATGAATTCCTCGATCATCAACCAGAAATGGTTGAATCATTGTTAAAATTGGAACTAATAGTTCATTGAATATCTTTTACCAAAACAAAATTAATCTCTATACAGAATCCATTATTACATGGATGAACATTTGAAATGTTATATCATATGATCCTTTTATTAAAGTTTTCAAAATAGAATTTTTTGTCACTTTCTCAAAGTGTTTTGGAGGAACAACTTCTTCTTTAATACAATTTTAAGTCTGCTCCTGAATCTATACGAGCGTTTGATTGGAAAACAAAATCGTCTATTTTTATGGAAAGGAGAGATTACCATCTTTGTATTCTAAATTGGATCTGATTTAGAAAATCTTTTCTTATCCAGAAGTAGATGGTTTTTCTTCTTTTTCTTCTAAGATTATTACTCATTGTTTTAATTATTTAATCTCTTGTTTTTTTTCATTTAGTTTTCTTTTCATTAAATTTCTTCTTATTTCTTGTTTTTTTTCATTTAGTTTTCTTATTTCTTTCCTTTTGAATTTGCCGCTTTTAAATTTCTTTCCTTTTTTCATTTGAATTTACCGCTTTTAAATTCCTTTTGAATTTACCGCTTTTAAATTCCTTTTGAATTTACATATAAATTGATCCAATATAAATTTCAGATAAAACTGTTAATTGTAAACGAATTAGATCAATCACAAAATATTGGTTTTAAAGAAGACGTAAACTGAACTTGTTAGTGCAATGTAACCATTACTGCTGCCTTCTACAGATTTTTTTTCTGCAAATGCACTAATAGATACATGATGTATGTTTCAAGAAATATCTAAACAGATCATACATCAACATAATTGTTTACTTAGTTTGCTAAGTTATAACTTCATCAAGCTAATAATAATAATGAATGTCATATAAGAATGTAGGGTAGCACTCATGCAAACAAAATCCCACAATATCAGTCCTCCTCTGAACATGCAGTCACCAGACATGTAATCTGCAAAGAGGACAGTAAGTTTAAAAATGATTTTGGAAAATTTTAACCTTGCATAGGCCTAAGGGTTCTCCATATTTAATGAGAACCTCCAAAGCAAATTTTTTAGCATATGATGCTAATGCAAGGTTATATACAAAAAATAGAAGTCATTAGCAGGAAGATAATTTTCAATCATCAATTGGAAGGTTTTTTTTAAAAGAAACCACTAGTTCTTACATCCTAATAAAGAGAGAGAAAAAATGATGAGTGAAGCGTAAAGGAACTAGTTTACTTCTGGAAGTTCTGTAAGGGACATAAAAAATTTCAGAGTTTCACAGGAAACAAAAGAAATCAAAGGATGCAGAAATCAGTGACTCACTGTTTTTGGCCCAACTCCTTTGAAATGTCGGAGCTCAGCCTTAATTTTGTCAATAGGCATCTCCCTCAAATAGTCCAAGCATATTTTTCCTTTCTGTTCAAGAAGTGCGCTCAAAATGTTCTTAATACAAGAAGCTTTTGTCTCTGCTAAACCACCACATTTGATGGTATTCACCACAGATTTGGATTCTGCTGCGTGCACCTGATTGGAGAACAGCAAGAGTACAAGTACATAGACATAAGATGGATAGCTTTGCTAAGTAATAACTAGAACATTTGTGCCAAATCATAACAAAGGTCTCAGAACAAAACTTGTTAAAAACAATATATTGAATCTATGTTCAATACGTTAAAAAAAGCAACAGTTCTGATATTTGAGGCAATTATCAAGAAATTGTAAAATAAAGGTGACAAAAGTTCCAATATCTGGGAAGATTATGGGGGGAGGGCAATGTTCAAAAAGTTGGTCGCCCTGCCACCTAGGCGGGCCGCTAGTCAGCTAGGGCACCGCCTGGGCAAGCACCCAGCACCTGGGCAGCCGCCTAGGGCCCTTTTGGCGAGGACGAAAATAGGCATCGCCAAAAGGGCGATAAACGTCCTTTCCCCCCTTTGAAAAGCGGCGAAATAGTGGGGCATTTTGAACCCCCAAAACCCTAAACAACCTTCATGTGCCCCAAAATAACAATTTTTTTTTAAAAACAACTAAATCTTTTATGGAGTGAATCCAACTGCAAAGCTTTTGATATCTTGCAAAATTGACTTTTTAAGGATAGACTAAAAATAGTGAGGGAGGAGAGAGAGGAGCCAGAGCTAGAAGACTCAGAAGAGACCAATGAAAAAGAACGATATGGAAAGGGATGATTTTGATGACGATGGCACGGCATCATAGTCATCATCTAATAGAGTGTTGGTAGGAGAAACAAGAGAAGAGAGTGTAGGAAGTGATGATGAAACCCAATTGGGCCCTTTTTTATTTCATGATCATTAAATTTTATATAACGTTTTGAATGTTTGGAACTTTGGAATGCATTGAACTTCGACTTTTGAACTTTGAAGAAATGTTTGAAGTGCTAATGGGTAAAAATTATGTTTATATGACTTTTTGTTTTGGCTTATGTGTGTCAAATTTTAGGTAATTTCAACGTTTTAGTTCTTTAAACATGTAAATTTTAGTAAATAGGTACAATAGGAAACCCCCTCCCCAGGTACAATAGGAAACCCCTCCCCCCTTCCCGGTCGTTTTTCTTTCTCCCAAGACAGTCCCGCGCAGGTCACTGGGCAGCCCTTTCCATGTTCTTGAACATTAGGGGAGGGTATCCTAAAACCCTTGGTAAGAGAGACGAAGAGGTGAGAGGACATGCTAACTTGTAGAGGAAGCTACAATGACTTGAGCCACCAAAATGTCATGAGGCATAGAGAGAAAGGGAAGCCATATGGGGATACAATAGTGACACATTGTCTAAGGCTAAGCATGAGATGATGTCATTAAATTTAGTCGAATAAGGAAAGAACACAGTGGTTGCAGGGGAAGAGATATGATGCAAATCAACTTAAACAAATTTGATTTATTTCAAACTTTATTTTACTTTTTTTTTTTATTAGGTGTTATGGGATTTGTTGACTTAGAGGGGTAAACATTCTTGGAATGGGAGTTAGTGAGGTGAGATTTGTTGACTTAGAGAAGAAAACATTATTGGGATGGGAGTTAATGGAATTTATCGACTTAGAGGGAAAAGCACTCCTGGAATGGGAGTTAGTGAGATTTGTTGACTTAGAGGGGAAGCATTCTTGGGATGGGAGTAAGTGGGATTTGTTGACTTAGAGGGAAAGGCGCTCTTGAGATGGGAGCTAGTGGGATTTGTATGACTTATGGGTTTATGGGGCACGAGAGTCAAAAATAGAGAGAGTATTTATGGGGGCATATATTGAAAAGATAGGCTTATGTTAAGGGGACTTGGTAATTTTTGTAGAGAGAGTTTATTTTCATGAACGAAGAAAGAAGTTCTTCTCATCCTTGGCTTGATTTACAGCCACTTATTTCCTCCATTATTACCAAGTTTTTGCTTGTTTAATATCGAAAGAAGACCGGATTTAGTTTTGAGGGCTCCTTTCGCATCAAGTAGTATCAGAGCACAGTTCGAAAAAGTTTAACGACTACGATGGTTAGTCGTGGAGATCGCAACCATAGGAATGCCAAGCAGAACCAAATATACAAGAAAATCGATAACTTGATGACGTTAGTTGAAAAGTTGTTGAAAAAAGAAAGATTGCAACAACACACATCGAACAAGATGAGATCTACAGTGTTAGATCCATATTATTAGAGTTCTGTGGAGATCGACGTAAATCAGAAAGTGAGTCTAAGTTGGAATGGCATGATGTTATGTTTGATCGCACTTTTGGGTTCAATACACGATGGCATCGACAGAAGCATGAATGCATAGAAAAGTTGGGTAACCAACAACCCCAAAGCCGATGTGATTGGTGTAGAGGAGTATACCGAAATCAGTGTAGAGACGCGCCGAGAAAGAACTTTACCACATCCAGATCCACCCTTGGAGCAGGATCAACCCAGTCTAGGAGACTAACTTCCAAGCTGGGGAGTTGCCATCCTTACAATAAAGCTGCGTCTTGAACATCACAGAAGTAAACAAAGGTATGTGATTTCTTTATCAAAGAAAATACTAATTTGTCACTAGAGAAGTTAATGCATTGAAAGATACAAAAACCCTTAAATATGGTGAGAAAAGGGTAAATATATTTGTAGATCAATCTGCTGAAAAAGAAGAGATAATTGGGATATGACTAACATTTTTATGTATGGAACTATGGAGGATTCTAAATCAGATAATGAAGAAATTCGGCATTGTATCAATCAGAAGGAAATGTTAACTTTTAACATTATTTATGTTGAAGACAATGTTGAATTTGCAAATGGATCACTCCTAATGAACAAGGAAGAGCGACCCATAATTGTAATCAAAGGGGATTTAGGATTGGATGCGAAAGCAAAGATAGTGGTTTCTGATCCAAGCAAAGTGTTGATGGTTAGACATGAACCATCTTTGTTGTCTTTGAGTGAAGAGATTTCAACCAAATCTTCCAAAGACGAGCGTATGGCACTACTCTCTATGCGAACGTACAGGTAAAAGTGATGTTGATGACAATGCTAGTAAAGGTATTGTTTCTCTTAATGTCTTTTCTAAATGGAGGTGCATACCAAGGAACTAAAGGTGCTTTCAACTTGGTTTCTTGACAATAGCCTTGACATAAATAATGTCCACCTTGAAGTTGATAATGTTGTCCTCAATGGTGAAAGAAACGTCGAGCCATTGTTTTGTTTTGAGTTGAAGATTCCAATCTCAACTCATGGATTATGAGTTGAAAGAAACTATGGGGTAAATGTAGGACTTATCTTGATCCACTTCAAATTCTTGGCCAAATTTTCTCAGGTTTCTTTGTTTATGGGTCATAATGCTTAAGAGAGATGGAGGCCCATGGTTTTCATTTTTCGTATTCTACTCTTATTGGTGTTTACATATTTGATTGGCGCAATAAAGGTATGGAGAGTAAAAGAGCCATTATGCAAATCCATACTAAAGTTTTGATGTGTGGATTAATTAATGGCCCTTGCATTGCCAATGCACTTTTTTCATCCCATTGCAAAGTTATTGAGCTCCTTACTGCAATCTTGATGCTTGATTCCATAAATTACAAAGGTAATGATTTTTTGGAGAGTTTTTGTTAGAGCTCTCAAAGAAGGTATGGGCCATGGCATCTTGAATTTCTTTCTTCTTGTTCTTTGTCATGGTTTTAGACCATATGATTTTGCCCTCCTTGCTGTTAACAGTGCATGCATGTGCTTGAACTCGAGGGATTAAGCCTTGAGTGTTCAAGTTCATGGGTTAGGTGTCAAGTGTAGCTTAGATTCAAGTGATTTTAGAAGGAATTCTTTTATTGCACTTTGGGCTGGCTTTTGTTTGTTGGAGAATGCACAGATTTCTTTTAAGAATTGGCAAGACAAAGATGTTCCTAGAGGAGGCTTTATAATAGGAGCTTATGTTGTCCAAGTTCATGGAGGAAGAGATCTGAATTTTTCTTCAAATTTCATGGGCATATGCCTGACATTGAGTGAGCTGACTTTTACTAGCTCCTTGTTGGCATCCGCACCTGTTGCCATTCTTGAACATGTAAAGCAAGCTCGTGGTTTCATGCAGAATTTGAGACCTCAAGCAGGGTTTGAATCAGATAAGGAAGACAAAAATATACGCATAAAGTTGTAGTTTCATTGATATTTTGCACCTTACTTTCAGTTGTGAGGCCATACCTACTTGGAAGTAGGGGTGCGATGGAACCGACTAGACCCGGGACCCGACGGGTATATACCTGACCTTGGCTCTGGGTATGGGTCCAAATTTTGGACCCGAATACCATTCGGGTCCGCATATGAGTCCAGCCGGACCCAACCCATACCCGTAGTCATAGAGTATATGATGGCAATCATGTGTCTTTAGGCGCGTGCTAGGTGTTCATATTGTCACAATATTTACAACATTATTGGCAAAAAAAGCTCATAGTCATAAGGTATATGATGGTAAAAAAAAGCCATAACAAAAACAAAAAAAAAAGCTCATAATCATATGGTGGCAATGGATCCAACCAGACCCGAGACCCAACGGGTGTGGGTATGGGTTCAAAATTACCTGAATACTATTCGGGTCTGGGTCCAGGTCCAGCCAAACCCGACCCGTTGCCACCCCTACTTGGAAGATTTTTTGGAGTCAGTAATTTTGCAACTTATGCTGAACTCATGGAGTCAATTATCATTTATTTATTTCGTGGGCAATTCTTTCAAGACCAGACATGGGAGAAAGCTTCGTCGATCAGGAATCAAAATTCTTTGATGGGAAATAATTCTTCTTCTTTATCAAGGGCAGTCAATTTTGAACTCTCAGTCAATAATGCCTTGCCCCATCTTATATGCCTAATGGATAACCATAGGAGGTGCATCCTGGTTGTTTGGCCTCATCACTTACAAAGAACAATTGTGTGGAAGTGTAGGGCTTCACAATCAGCTAAGGGAGGATGATGATGCAACAACAAAAACTCAAGACGAGTTTTTTTTCCATCCCGGGGAATATGATGCAAATCGAATTAAAAACAAAAAATTTGATTTACTTCAAACTTTATCTTTTTTGTAAG